CCTCTCACTAGGATTTTTTTTTTTTTTTTTTTTTTTTTTGAAGAGTGGTGGAATTTCCAAAAATGTTGTCCTCAAAATTGAAAGGGTGGTGCGCAAAATTTTAAAGGGTGGGTATAAGCATGGGGACAGTGAAAAAAAGCTCTGGCCATTGGGCTTCTGCGCATGATGATTTTTTTTTTTCAAATGGCACTAACCTGGAAACTTGGTGAGGAGCAAACGATATGACCCCTAGATACAGTAAATGCAATACAGTAGCCCTGCTTTGGGACACCCCTATTCAGGGGACACTCCTATTAAGGGGACACTTTTCCGTGAAACAAGGGGAAATATATCTTTTAACACTACAGCCAATCCCTATTGAGGGGACGCCCTATTAAGGGGTCGGGGACACTTCTCTGAGTGCGCCATATGGTCAAATAACCACGTAGAATTCTGAAAAGAACTGTTGTTGTTGGTTGAGAATAACTCGACGTTTCAAGATTGAGTTGCTTCAATGTCTTCAGGAGAATAATATCTGATATTATTCTCCTGAAGACGATTGAAGCAGCTCAATCGAAACGTGGAGATAGATATTCTCAACCAACAACAACAGTTCTTTTCAGAACTATCTACGCGGTGTACCGCAAGCATTAATATATATTATAACTTCGCCATGCAAGCCTTTAAACAATATAATAATAATAATAATAATAATAATAATAATAATAATAATAATAATAATAATAATAATAATAATAATAATAATAATAATATGCAGAAATTTATAACGCGTCAATTCAAAAACATTATCAAAGGCGCAGTGAACAATTAACCCAATTACAGCGATTTTGTAAACAAAAAAGATTATTTGAAAAGATTATTTATCATTTAATAGAAAGCTCAATATAAAAAAAAAGAATATTATTATTATTATATTGTTTAAAGGCTTGCATGGCGAAGTTATAATATATATTAATAATAATTAATAATTAATAATAATAATTCTTAAATCAGTAACGCACATGTCTTGAATATTTGAAGGAATTAAATCCCAGACCCTACGAAATGCAATGAAGATACTATTAAAAAAGGCATTAGATTTGGATTTTTGATGTACAAATTTTAAATGATCAGAGTTTCTATGACTTGGTGTTGGTAATAGAGATGACGAATTAATAGAAAAAAACAAGTTATGGAGACATACCGGTATTTTACAACAAATATAACATAAAGGTAATTCAGGCGATTGTACAGTAAAGGAGTATTCATTATGACTAGTCTGCTATGGTATGGAACATAATCTGGGTTTTCGTGCCTTGTGTATGGGAATCATACCCTTGTGAGCTTCAGGTTGAATTTGGTAAGTAAGTTTAATTAAACAATTTTTCCAGCAGGATATGTTGCTCGAAACTCTACGTTATTTGTGTAGGCATAGGCCTACTGTATTTCAAAAGTTAATTCATAGCATATTGTATCCTGTGTATTCATATAACATGTATTATTTAATACATATTGTTATTCCTTGAATTATATATACATTCGTGTTTCTTGCACCTGTACTTCATTGCATATTTCACAATGCCCTTCACGTCGTCTAAATATAACTATAGTATAGCCATTGTTATTCCTTGCATTTTATATAACATTAGTGCTTCTTGCACTTAATTATTCATGGAGAAATAAGCAACTTAATTAAATCTTCAACAATATATCCTTCGCAGTAGCCCTAATAACATTTATCTTATTCCCAAGATGTAAAATAGTCCTACGAATTTTAATTTGGTCAATGCTACCACATTCTGTGTCCAGATGGGAATGGGTGGTGGCAGGTTTGCCAGCTTCTATTTCCAGGCATCCAGAAGTACCATATTTCCTACATCTCCATGCTAACTTTATTTCTTATGGCTGCCCCTTGAGGGAAGGGGCTAGCGGCCCTCACGTTGTCAGCATCTATTTCTGGGCATTCAGAGTTGCAAAAAATTGTTCAACGACCATCGTCGGTCTGTTGTAGATGCTCTCATACCCCACTAATTTTAATTTTAAAATCCTGTATCCGTGGATAGGGGTAGCGGGTCTTTTTACAACCAAAACTGTTAAGTACCCACCCCCCCCCCTCTGATTAATGGCCGGGCCACTTGCAAAATGCTTCCGACGGCTATATGACATTAGTATTGCTTTCATTAGGCGGCGGGATGGGGGAATTCAGCATAATCCAAGTTGATCCCATCATTGGGAGTTGATTTACATCACTGGTCACACTACGTAAATTAAAATGACTAACGTTAGACGACCGCAATGTGAATGAAAAGGAGATTTAGTATTGTACGATATATACAGTAATACATAATATGAATGATATTTGATGTCAATTATAATAAATACATAAATAACATGCAAACAGATAAACAAATGAATAAATTAAAACATATATGCAAATATATATATATAGACAAATAAAAAGGCACAAATAAACAATATGAATAAAGAGAAAAGCAAACAAATTAACAAGCAAATAAACATAAAAAATAAACAAACATACACATTCTGGTGTCACCAGGCCTAGGCTAGTTCGTGGCCCTAGCTAGACCTGCCATCAGCAGATCATGGTCAGACCTTGTTGCTTGCGTGAAAAAAACTCAACCCTTTAATTAAAATCAGCGATTCATCGACGATTCACCAGTTTCATCATCGACGATTCGCTTGTTTCATCATCGACGACTCGCTGTTTCATCATTGACGATTCACTTGTTCCATCATCGACAGTTCACTTTTCATAATCGACGATTTAATTTTTATCATCGACGATTCACTTTTTTCATTATCGACAATTCACTTTTTATCATCGACGATTCGCTGTTTCATCATCATTGACGATACATTTGTTTCATCATCGACGATTCACTGGTTTTTATCATCGACGATTCACTTTGTTCATCATCGGCGATTCACTTTTTATCATCGACGATTCACTTTTTTCATCATTGACAGTTCATTTTTCATAATCGACGATTTAATTTTTATCATCGACGATTCACTTTTTTCATTATCGACAATTCACTTTTTATCATCGACGATTCACTTTTTTCATCATTGGCAGTTCACTTTTCATAATCGACGATTCACTTTTTATCATCGAAGATTCACTTTTTTCATCATCGACGATTTAACTTTTTCATCATCGTCGGTTCACTGATTATCATCAAATTGTTGCTTGAACGGCGTTCCATAGAAATCGATTCATGTTTTGGGATAAAGTGCAGGTAGATAATTTTGATAAAATCCAGATAATTTTAAATTTCAAGAATTGTTTATAATGTTTTCATAAATTTATAAAATAAAATTCAATACAATACGGTATTTACATAGGCCTATTTCCCATGGAATCTGCCAACACGTTCTTTAAAACGTATATAGAATGTATATAGAATTTTAATATAAATCCCCAATTACGATGTAAAACATAATTAATTCCAAAAGAGAAATTATTCTTGGATAAATTTTCTATAGAATTCTATAAAATATTTTACTACGGGATAGAAGTGTAATTTTTATCCATAAGGGAAAAGTGAAGTTTTCGTCGGGGAACCCTTAATTATCAAGAATAACACTCATGATAAATAATTCAATGAGGTCGTGGAAGCTACAAGGAGACCCAGCCGGCCCGCCTTAACCCCCCTAAATTGTTCTATAAAAAATGGAGATATAAAGATAATTATATTCCAATTTTATGTCTGGAAGTGCAATTTTCGGCCATTTAGAGGTGGTGCCATAATCACAAATTTTCTTACCTCAGCCCAAACCATGGTGGGACTGAGTTAGTATAGATCTTTTATCTGTGAAAGTACCCTCACTGGGCCCTTCTATTTCAAATTCCTGGATCCGCCACTGGAAATTTAAACAAATATAAAATCATATTACAGTAGCTTGATGCCTATAAAATAACTTTATGATTCACCAAACTTCGTAAAATATCTGTAGCTTCCAAGGGGCTTCGCCCCTGGACCCCCACTGGGGCCCTTGGCGGCCCCCCCCCTGTCCCCCAGCCTACATGCTCGCTTCGCTCGCATATACGGTACTGGACCTTATGAAATCCCCCCACCCCTAACCACTTTCAAAAACGTTCCGCCGCCGTTGCTAGGAGTACGTGACTTACAACAAAAAATGAGTCTAGCTGCAGAATTTTTAAGTTTCTGCAGGGTGTATAAATCTCTTTTAAACAGGCAATTGTACAGTGAATTGCAGTAGTCCAGTCTTGAAAGAAGCAGTGCAGCAGCATGGCAGGTATCCCTATCTATGAACTTCCTGATTCTCAGTAAGTTTCTTAGATGAAACTATAGAGGGGTTGGCCGTACTGTTAAAGTTTAAAACCAACGTGTTTTAAATTATTATTAGTACGTTTAGGCCTACATGGCTATTTGCGCTATACAAATCCAACTAGGCCTATTATATTATGTCTCGCATGATGCGCTATACAAATCCAACTATTATTATTATTTCAATAGGACTTCGGGTTTTAGATCCCTGGTATTCAATTCTTTATAATATGATGATTAACTAGCTTATCTACCTTTGCGACTCCATCTTATTTCTTGTTTTATTTTCATGAATAATTTTATTAAATTCATTGAATATGGGAACCAATTGCAGAGCGGGAATCTTTATGAATAATAGATTGTACTTTCATGTATTATTGATGTACTACACTTCTTAATAATAGTTAAAGCTAAATGACACTCGCACTGTAAAACTGAGTGTTTCTTCCCGACGGAGGTTCAAGGTTCAATGCTCCCATTCCCCTGCTGGCGTCTGCATGGGGGCGGGATACCGGCACCCACTTCCGAAGTATGAAAGCATTATTTTAATTCATTAATATTCTTGGGTTTATTATGCATGTATTACTTGTGCGTGCACTGTTTATAATATGTTTACGGTATTACTTCATTTTATTTCATTTATTTTGTCGAAGTTGTACAGAAAAAAATGCAAAACGGAAAACACACATTGCATATTCATGAGCGTTCATGTTTTGTTAAATACATTGCATATTCATGAGCAGTGGTATAGTTAAAATGTAATCACTCGCTACCAGTTGTACACAAGCCAAGTCGGAGCGTACCACAGTGAACGAGTGCGTTATCAGAACTTTATATACTAAGGAGCAGATAATTGTTTAGACTTTGGAAGATGTTCTTCTTGATGTTCTTGCTCATGACAACTCGTGGTATGTATGCCTCATTTTCAGTCACCTTTTTTGCACGATTAATAGATTTCTTCTTTCGTATAATTTATATAAATTCATTCTAAACATAAACAAAATTCCTTCTTATAATAATACACATTTTTAAAGCGCCTATTAAAGCAAACAAAACTGGCTTGTCACCGGCGCTGGAGGATGTTAGAAAGAAGTTGAACTATTTGAAGAGGAATGATTTAAGAGTAGATTTGAATAATTGCGGATCAGAAATGATACGTAATTGAGGAGGGAGAGAGTTCCAGAGTTTAAGAAAGAAAAGTTTGTATTTTCACTTTGGGGATGATTTCAGCTACACACTGGTCGAAGCTCCAAGCACTTCGAGGCTTCGTATTTGATGGACCACTTTTTTCACAAATTATATTATTTTTGAAATAATATACTGATAGGCCTACATAAATTATTTATTACGAATGTTCGCATCAAATTGTCTTTAATATTATGTATTTAAACAAAAATCTACATGGGCTTATTTTTGTATTGCATGTACATTTCAACTATTTTGTCAATCCTTAATTTATTAAGATCGATTTTAATAATGTTCAGAAGTATAAAAAAGAAAAATGACAATTAACTATATATCAAATTTGGGACTTCACAAAACAATGAAGAATGATTTTGCAAAATCAACATTTGTTTATGTACATCTTGAGAGGGGAGAGAAAA